TTGATGGAGGAGCTTGGCAACCATGTGTATTATTGGGCGGAGCGAAGTTAAAGCTAAATAGGGGTCTGTACTCGGACATAATGGGCGTGATTATGTTCTCAGTCATTTCGAGATGATTTCCAAATCTACTAAGTCAGAAAACACACAGGAAACCCAGATTTTTCACAAGCTTTCCCACCGTTTTCATAGAGGCAATGCTCAAGGTCTTCAGCAGCCAATTTAGCGTGGGACGTCAGGAAGTCAGCGGTATTCGACGTTCGAGAGGATGCAGCGATGGCACACGTCAGTTCTGGAATGTGCGGATATACGAACTGGTATTAATGAATCCACACAGTATACACAGCACACACGCGCACAGGTCGGGTGATGCAGGGAAGGAGACCGGAGTGCACCAACAACGCACGTTTATTAACCAAAGCCGGAAGACGGGGTTGTGTACAAAAAGGGGTCGGTCAGGGTCGGTCCGGGGGGGTTGTACAAGCAGCTTTTCTTTCCTGTCCGGGGCTCGTTGTGGTTCGACCATGGTACCTGCAACAGGGAGAGGGAGGGGGAGAGACACATAAGCTCATGTGATAGACGTGCATGAAGATACAGTCGAGTTTCAACTGCGTTACACCAATAAAATACGAATTCAGCGCGCACGGTGGACTCCGAGTTCGTTTAAACAGCTTTTAGTAAAACTGCGGCCGCGTGGGGAGATCGTGGGTGCTCTTAGCTGCAAAACCTTCACAGAGGTATACAACTTTTTGCTTCAAAATGTTGCATTCTTGTATTTATATTTGCATCAAAAATCGTCCTTATCTGCGTTTAAATTTTTGGTGCTCACCAAATTTCGTTGCCCAGAGGAGCAATCATACACTTGCGGACAGTCTGGTAGAGTACTTTCCTAGATGTATCTGGCTGTCTTCAAACATGTCCTTCTCACTGCACCATGAGAAATCGGCCCAAACGTTTTTTGCTGCTTTACGGATGACTCGACGCACCTTCTCTCTTACTCTCAAAAATTTTCAAATACTCTGGAACCTACGTCAGACCGCTCCTTGAATGTGCCACCCAAGTTGCCTGCTCAGGACGCACGGAAGACGTAACCCAAATCGAGCGTGTCCAGCGGGCCGCTAGGAAATAGTTGCCAGCCTAATGTCCGTGGACTACGACACCCGTCTCGCGATGTTTGATCTCTTTCCTCTGGAGTATCATCGCCTCCGAGGGGACCTAATTCTTACTTATTCAGTGTTTGAACAAAGTTTGGCTGACAGGTTTTTCACCACTAACCCAACGAACGCACGGCAGGGACATGGTAAGCTCAGACCGCACACATTCACGAGGCAAAACTTTTATTATGTTTAACAGTGGGTGCACTGAATAACCTTCCTCTGACGGTTGTTCACGCTTTTTCTAGAACTCACTCCGAGGCACTATTAGACACTCAACAATGCGAGTCTTCGTGCTGGATAGCATACTGCAGTGCTACACCCTTTTCACTTGTGTCTTTCTTCTGAACGACAAGAGCAAAACTATCCGGGTAACCTGTGCAAAATACTCGACCTTGTGTATCAGTTCGTGAATCCGTAGGATTGCTGGGACCCCGGTACACCTAGACTGGGCTCAAAACTTTGGACTCGTACTCTGAACTCGGTTGCCTGTCTGTTTTAGTCCTTCAGGTACTCGTCGTAGCTTCCGAAAGTTCAGTTCCATTGTTAGGATGCTGAGTAACAACATCGTGTAAATGGCGACTACTTTCTGGAAATCCTCACGCCTTCCGGATGCGCCATTGCCAACTGGCATCGGCAAGTACTCGGTCGTGATTGGCTGTTGCGTCCAAAATTTCTACCAATCCGACCTCGGCTTGATACCTGGTCGGCGAGCGTCGCGACTTTTGGCTGTACTTGCTCTTGGTGGGTTTCTTGACCGTAGCATCACCTGACTGCGAGCGGTAAAGCGGAATTCGTGTGGAATTCCGCCTAACGTTTAGTTCTGATTGTAGTGTTGAAGATGAGGTCACTGCACGAATTGCAAGGCTCGGATCGCGTTGCTAATTTGAGGCACTTGTGGCGTGAAATGGGTGTCTTTGAACCCCAAGGGACGGGTGTGTCGCGCTACAGTACTAGCTACTTTATTGTATGGCTGAGACTGCCTGTTCGAGCAGCGGAACCGAAACATCTTCAGGTGTTCGACAACCGCTGTCTCATAAACATATCTCGTGTCGGTTGGTTTCAGTGAATCCGTAACGAGGCAGGTAGAAACGAGGCTTCTGGAATCAAACCGACTCCCCTGTGGTTACTTTATGCACTGCCTTTTTGAAGGTAGACTCCATTATCGACTGACCTCAGCTGTCTGAGACAGTCTTCTTCTCCCAGATAACGGAAGTCGACCATAATTGTACTTACCGAGATCTCGGCAACCAGTTATTTGACGGTTATTTAACCGAGCAATAACCGGCAAACGCGGTTATTTGACAGTTATTTAACCGAGCAATAACCGGAAAACACGGTTATTTGACCGTTATCTTGGTGCAAATAACCATCTGTTAACCATAAAAGGTGGTTATTTGGCGGTTATATAGCCGTCGTATAACCGGAAAACTCGGGTATTTTGAACTGCGTGTGCTGCTAGGGGAACTTCACTGCCATTCTTGGACAAAGTAGGAGGCAGATCGTGAAGATCAAAAGCAGGATGTCACAAGAGTATAAGTTCGGATATTTCTGATGTCGAAGGGTGCTCTGTGTTCATATACTACTTTTCCGCCCAAGGCTGACAGTTTGCATTGAAAGTAGTGTATGGTCAACCAATTTGTTGCTCCAAGTATTCTGCCAGCGGTCCAAACATCCTTTTTGATGCTGTTTGAGGGGCATTGATGTCATTGATGGTTTCGCGGACTGAGACTTCGGAGGACCTGTCGTGCCGACCAAGTGGAACAACCTACGGTTGTTTTCAGCGTTTTTTCGTTTTCATTCGCTCGGCCTTTCGGATCAACCGAGCTTCCCGACCCGCGCAGGTACTCAGTGCTGCGTCAGGTAAAACGTTTTACCTGATGTCGGATAATTTATCGTTGAGTCGTATTCAAAAGTAGTCTGCTACCGGGCTTCTAGCAAAGGCGTGGTCCTATAAAAACCCGGTGCTTGGAAAAGGCAGGCTGGGCTGTACCGCTGGTAGAGGTTGCGGCATCTCTGGATATCTCCTGTAGTAATGATAAATATACCATACTGGATAGACAGGGAGTTGAAGTTCCATTTCGTGGTGCGTGAGCCTCTCAATGGCCACGTGTTGCGTGCATTTTTTTAAGTAGACCTCAAAGCAATGGAAAACAGCAGCGGAAAAGTTCATGATCAGGGCCCCCCCTGGTGTTCAGAAGGAGCGGCAAGCAGTGGTCGAATTTTACCACCGGCAACTGATAGTCATTTGGTCTATTTGGGTTCGGGCCTGGTCGAACTATTTGCGCCATTCCGGAGGTTCGCACTGTAAAGGAACACCTTACGGTCACCATACATATGTAGTAGACGATCTCCGTTCATGCGCTCCGTATCCAACTCACGACGATTATCCATCCTGGTCTGGGCGTTAATGTCAGCAGCGACTACAACGTTTATTGGCCTGCTGAAGCGCGCCTTAAACGCTACGGAAACTCCTTTTTGCAGAATCAGAGGTACGGCCCGCTTGGGTGTAGGTCGATACACTAAACAGCGAGCAAACTGGGAAGCAGAAGGGTGAAAGTGGATCCCGTGGGGTGAAATTGTGTGGATTAGGGCCAGTCGGTTAACGAACGACAACTGAAGCGTAGTGACGCATGGGCAACCTTGGAGACGTTGAACCTAAGAACAATAAGGCAACGACTGCGGTCTTGTTTGCTTTGGTTGCCTTGAACTGGTTGACAATGAGTGGTTCACTAACGGAACATCGGGAGATAAGATTAGTTTACCAGGCCTGCACTAGCTTTCTAAGCTTATCAGATAGACGACATCGCGACGTTGCTGGGATTTTTCGTGGCTATCGCCGTAGAGATCCAAGCGAATGGGATTTCGTCAGTACGTTTAACAAGTCAGTGCGATAAGCCTGTGATGGTTCTGAGGGGGGCTTCCAATAACCCTCATCCTGTGGACAAAATCAAGCCAGACGTTGATTATCTACGGAAGGGCTTGCAGGTGTTCTCTGGGTTCGACGTATGGACGCCACAGGCTATCAGTCTACCCAAAGTGAATGTTGTGTGCAACGGGCAGGTTGTTTCCGCTTATGACTTTAGAACCCTCCGTAACGTTCTGGTTTATGATGTTAATCCTAAAGGGGCAATATGGCCCAAGTGGTTAGAGCGCGAATTTCCTGACCGGAAGGTCCTTGGTTCGAACCCGACCTCTGCCTCTCGATTTCCCCTGTCTAGGCATGGGCAATCTGGCAGTATTCCAGCCCTCGTGCTTCCTTCGGGTGGCGTGGTAGCTAGGCACCGGAAGAGTGTTACAGCTGAACGCTTTCTTAATCCTATAACGGTGGAGAATCATCTTTTGTGACCGTATTTGTATCGGCCAGTACTAGCTATCCATACATTTGTCCGTCTTATGATTGGCCTGTGCCATCAGGCCACCATTCACATACACCGGGTTTCAAGTGTTCATTGCAACTTGGCATAACTATGTGTTGAGGGCGCTAAACTGCTTACCGGATGATCAGTCGTTCGATCTCGACCCAAGCCTTTTTACGGTTCCTCTTTAGGGCTGTCCAACCAGGCGCTATCTCAGCCCTCGTGTTTCTTTCGAGTTACGTAGCAGCTGTCTACCAACATGCAGACTACAGGCTTAACATACTGGAAAGCCCCGGGTCTCAAGCGAACACTGTGAAGGTATAACAGGGAGCTGGTGAACAAAGTTAAGAACTACAATCTTGAGGTGGATAGCCATAGTTCCGTACTTTCTAAACTCTTGAGTTGTCTGTGTGTGTAGGTGTGTGGTTTCCGTTGTGTTGACCGCTTTTTTTACCGTAGGATTCCAATTCCAATTGTTTACACTTTTAGCCTCGCAATGGACAATGCTCCCTCGAAAAATTGGGAGCTCACTCTTTATGAACTGCACAGGAAGCCACAGGAACCAATCACCGATGGTACTGAGATTGCTGTTAGTCCAAGAAGTTTGAAGAGCGAGCTGATGTGTCCAATCTGTTTGGATATTTTGAAAGGCACAATGACAACGAAGGAGTGTTTACACCGGTTTTGTGCTGAGTGTATTGTTACAGCACTGCGTAGCGGCAATAAGGAATGTCCGACGTGCCGCAAGAAACTTGTTTCCAAACGATCGCTGAGACGGGACCCGAATTTCGATGCACTTATTGCAAAGATTTATCCAAGTCGAGAGGTTGGTACCACTGGCCCTGAGACATTTAACTGTGTAATTTAACTTGATAAAGCAATGGTGCTCCTTCTGGCACTGTAGATTCCACCCGTACATGATGCAACAGAATTAATCTTTTAGCTCCAAAGACAGCTTTACCTTGAGTTAGCTATCCTAATTCTTTTACTGGGATTCTCCTTGTGACATAGGAGTCTATGCAACAGTGCTTTATCTGCAGCATTTTGATATTAACCCCCACCATTTCGTCAGCGTACACTGGAATTTTGAAGTAGTGTTAGTCACAGTAAACCTAACGACTACTTATATAAAACACCGAGGTACGCGAGATGACCCAAGTGGTTAGAGAGCGAATTTACTGACCGGAGGGTCCGTGGTTCGAACCCGACCTCTACCTCTCGACTTCCCCTGTCTAGGCTTGGGCAACCTGGCAGTATCCAAGCCCTCGTGCTTCCTTCGGGTGGCATGGCAGCTGGGCACCGGAAGGGTGTTACAGCTGAACGATTTTTTTCACCCTTTACAAATACTTATTTTTCCACTAGGCATTGTCACTGTTGGTAACAGTTAACATAGCTTCATCGGTTTCAACTAGATTGCGAGTTAAAAATAAAACCATTAAATTTATGGTGTCGAATTTTAACATGGACAGTTAAAACCATGGCGCGTCACGTGGCAAACTTGACGGCAAGATTTTCATTCTCATTACCTGACATTCTGGGACATCCAAATGAGACGTAGCTGCTCCATCTGAGAAATTCGTCGAGGCACTTTTTTAATATTCGCTTTAGATATTGAACTACGACGGCCACAAGTAGTCGCATGTTATCACCACATCTATGTGACAAAGAACCGAGAATCAATTGTTGCTAAGCCTGTGGAACCCGATAGAACATCGTCTTTCGTGCCTCCCGCAGTTAGAGAGACTTTAACAATGGAGTGTTTTCTCCTAAATAGAAGTGTCATTCAGACACTGTTCAGAGTGCTTGCCTTCAGACATCAAACGGCGTTTTCACGAAACCTCGCTTGTTTACTGCTAATTCAAAACCATGAAAAATTATTTTCAATTTTCTATATGGCGCTTAGTGAACTTTGTCACATCTACCCAATGCTGGCTTCTGGTGAGCAAAATTTCCCTGACTGGCAGTTCGCCATCATGATAACCAGCGTGTGTGAACCATAGTTCAGTCACCTCACAAGATTTCCGAGTTCCGAATAAGCCCGTCTTCGTTCAGCAACCGCCCCCAGCTCGAAATCAGTACGGGCATTGAAGTACATTTGTCATCTAATGAAGACCGTTGGGGGTCTTAGTACTTCATATGTCACGACTGGACTAGTCAGTATGCCTTGGAACTGAAAGTGGAACGGATTCCAACTCAAATATCTCGTAAATTGATGGGGTGTCATGATGACGGTGAAGTTTTCTTCTTAATCCAAAGCCTGGAGGATTTAGGGAAAGGCTCATTCTCTCGCGATCTTGGATTTCAGTAACAATATTCATGCAAAAACATTGCTTCAACTACCACTTTAAACAAGCATTATGCCGTTAACCTGGATGAATTGTATGGAGTCCCCCGTGTCAGGTTATCCCACTCTAGGGCTTATTCTAAAGGATAGATACATATGACACCACCTTAGACCTCTCTTCTTAAATTACTACGCTTTTGTTACCATGAGGCGCTCTTTTGCTCCACTTAAACCTCGAAAGTAGGTAAATTTTGATTTGTCAAGTAACAAGAACGCACGGTTTGTCTGTGTTTGTGGGATAACCCTTCGGTTCTAACCCTTGGCGTAATTTTCCTAGCTGAGTGATATTTAGGAGTGGTGGAGAATCTCATCAGGTCTCCACGTGATACACTCTCGTGAATAGGCTATGTATTTTCGCGTTGTCTGTACTAATCCCTTCCAGGCCGTGTTTTGTATTTTCGCTTTACTTTCTGTGTATTGTTTCTTTCTTTATATTTATAGGAGTATGAAGCACACCAGGACAAGATTCTGGCAAAACTAAACCGCCATCACCTCAGTGCAGCTCTCACTCGTTCGTTGGAACAACAACTTGCGTTGAGCAGCACTCGTTCTCGGCCCTGTTCTAATGGTCGACTACATCATAACTCAAACCCTATTGACGGGAATGCGGATGCTGCAGCTAGTGAAGATGATATTTCCACGGTAAGTCTCTTAGGATTCTTGTCTGTATCGTACCAGTTCTCCTGGTTGCATTTTTTCTTTCATGCAATTGTTCATTCGCGTCGGTTCTGTAGCTTTGTGTCGCAAAACCCTTCAGCAATGAATCGTTTCGGCGGGGCGGAAAATCTCTCTCGGATAGATGAGTAAGCTAATATGGCAACGTGCTGACCAGTGATTCTGTACGAGCTAAAACCAGAGGCGGCTTGAGGTTAGTTGACGAAAACTGGCACTACAGTATATTTTCACAAAGGAAACTACTCAACGGTTGCTGAAGACGATAGTACTTCCTATCGAGAGCGAAAAGCATCGCAACCGGACCCAAGCATTCATGCCTTGAAGTTGTTAGCTCTCGAGGATTCGAAAGCGCAGTTTTTCTTTACCCGACAAACCACTTCACCTCACATGATCAATTCAGTTGCATTTATCAGCTATAAACCGTGTACTGCAGGCATATTGGTTCCAGATGCTACAGTTTCCATCATTGGAAAACGGGAGAGTGTGCGATATACAGCCAAGCGTTGGGGACGATAGCACATCTGGTTAGTTCGGAAACTGGGTAGCTTCGCGTTGAAGGCGGTAGCTTTGATGCACGAGCGCCATTCAATACGCGATTGGACCAGTTCTGCCAATGTCATTAAGCTACGTTAAGTCCCCGGGTCCCCATCCTGTGGGGCGGCATCTGTCGTCCCGATTGAGTTTACTGGTTAGTATTTTCGTACTTCGTTGCCAGGTCATACACTGCCACTTAGCACAGGGCTAGGCAAAAAGAGTACTGTGAGACTGTCTTCTGGCATATGTGGTACATTAACTAACCAGCGTAACCTATAAAGTGTAATTCATCTATCGCGGGAGAGTTCCTTTTTCCAGGACCATCTGGCGTACCTTAGCATTACTAATCCGATGTTTCCACCAGACCTGACCAATGCTTCGGAGACACCGATGATTAAACACTGACATCTTCCGCATGTCCTCTGCGCATGGAGCCGGCATCTCTGATCCTTAAAGCAGTATAGATCGCGCTGCCGCATTGTAAACTCTGCCCTTGACAAAGAGACTCACATCACGTCGGTGCCATAGGTGTCGGAGGTTGGCAAAAGCTTCCCTGGCTTTTCCGATTTGAGAAATAACCTCACCTTCAGCCAGTCGGGAACTTATACAACTTCCCACTTGAGCAAATTTATCGATTGGCCCATCTGCAAGCATGAAGTCTGGGTTTGATCCCACCCAGTCTTGTAGCAGCAATTTGCACTTTGCAGGTGTGAAACGGATGTCAAACCGCGCGGCAGAGTTATTTAGGTCATTTTAAATCGTCTGCATTTTTAAAGGACTTGAACCAAAGAGGGCGATATCGTCTGTATGCTCAATCTCTGTGAGTGAACATACTGGGAGCATTTCGACTTCCGACGTTTCGGAGATAGAGAAATTTCAAGCAACATATCAGTGACAAAGTTGAAGAGCGAAGGTGAGAGAGGGCAGCCTTGTCTTACACCACTGGACGTGGTGATCTCAGGCAAATGTTTGTCGTATTCTCGTACACGCCCACATGAGTTCGCATACAGTGCCCTCATAAGGGAGAGAAGTTTTGAAGGGACAATTTTGATCTCCGTACACTGCCAAAGTTGCTGACGATCGACAGAATCAAAAACCGCTTTCAAATCAAGAAGAACGACCAACGTGGGACGTTTGAAGCAATAACTTGTCTCCAGGTAAAATTGTGGTCAATCCATCCTCTGCGATGCCGAAACCCAGATTGATTCTCACGAACTCGTCCGTCCTGATAATCCATCAATCTGCCCAAAATAGTGCCAGAGAGTACCCTAGATGCGGTGGCTACGAGGCTGATACCACGATGGGTTTCG